ATACATATAAATTAAGGTACAGCACAATGCCTAGGTATAGATAGTATTTACGATAGACTGTATGTGTGCCAAGGAGGCAGAGACTCTTCAGTCCTGGTTTACATAATATGTTGTTTAATCCGAGCACTATGTAATTACGATTGCAAATACCTACATATGTGTATGTTGGAAACGTGTTTTAAGTTCTCGGTAGGACGAATGTAATAGGTGTGGGTAATCTTGTGTAGTGGCTAGAGAAAAATGTAACAATAGGTAGGTAATATAACTGATGAACCATAGCGATCATAACTTATCTAGTTGAAGAATAGTTACGACCTTTTTAATTATATCGTAGGTACATATGAAGGAGTAAACTTCTAAATAATAGTATACTAAGTGGTAATCATACGCGTGACCACACTACACACCGTGTTGTTGTTAACGAGAAGTTCAACTATTTTAAAGAAAATTCATATAAATACTGGTAGCCTAAAATACTTAATTACAAAGAAAGTCTATTGTTCTAACTATAATAACAGCAATTTCGCAACAGTTACCAATAAGAGAAAACATTTATATTATACTTAATGATAGAAAATAGACAAAAACTGCTTATTCATGGGCCCTTTAGCGCTTTCCAGTCATTGAACCGACGACACCATTTTTATACGCCAAATGTTTTCAACAGTATTACGATAAATATTTTGGTATTACACTATCATGAACTTGAGGTTTCTTTTGGAAAAGTATTTCTCGATGGTGGTTACCGTCGTTTCTTGCAGTAGAGCGATCGATCACAATTCTAAGGTGTTCATTTGGCGTGAAAACGTAGAAAATGGCGGTTGCCAATCATGGCGGGTAATTGCAATGGCGCGAATGTGGAGGTCACTATCGGACCGAGAACTTGAGAGAATATTTATTAAACTGATACTCGAAGATTTATTTGTAGCAGAGAACAAGTGAATGATGTTACTAAATATGTTTTCATTTATTATTGCTTTAATATAGGTGTAAATAGGTAGATATTGAGTTCCAGTATTTAAGTATTTTTAGCAAGCTTATAAACTGTTCTATTGTCGAGTTACATAAGCTGTAAGCATGTTTATAACCTGCGTAACAGTTGTGTAAACAAAAACAAAAGAGATTCCCACGCGAGCTAGCCTAGGTGCTAAGTCTGACGGCAATGAGCCTATCATTATTTAAGGCACACGCCGTAAGCTGATTGGGAAATGATTAGCCCTTATTCCAAGACAATTTAAAAAAGAAACAAAAATGTACTTTCTATCAATGATGAGTTGAGAAGCTATGTAGTGAATTATACTTTTAATATGTAGGTACTTAATCAAAGCAGGAATTTGTTATTCTCGTCGTAATTAATATAAGTATACACTAGGTATAACTAAGCAGGAATAAAACATTTATATTGAGATTAGTATTTAAATCGGTAGTTAATTCAACAAAAATCTTCTAGATTTTTACTACTTCAATTACATGGCATTGCACTGAACTCAATTAATAAAGATTTTAGCCAAGTAAAACAGAAATAATTAAGGCTAAGGCTACTTAAACAATACCCGAGCTAAAGCTAAAGGGAAAGTGCATTAATAAGAAATGGCTGCACCGTCCCACGCAGTGAAACCTTGCATCGTTGCAATATTGTCGCGCGTCACACCTCGCTCCCACACTATTGAGTAATATTAGCTAAATGTAGTTTTTTGTCATGCTCAAAAGCTGACTTTGGGTTTTATGGAGAGCTTTTTAAAGTAAACTAGGATAATTATATTTTCGGATATTTAGCTTTCGTTTTGCATGGGTGTAAAATAAACAAATGGATCACCTCGGAAGTGAAAATAAGTGTCAGATTATAGTGGACTAAAAACCAACCTAATTCAACTCATGTTCTCTGCCAGGGCCGCGGTATAAAATTGTCTTGGCTTACAACTCGGGAACTTAATAATGATAATCAGTGAGCAATAATAATATTATTATAATAAACATCGATTTACGTGAAAACCCATACAATAGCAATTCCCACAAGTCGCGTTGAACTAATTTCACAACAGTCTTTTGACTGCGCAGTGGCTGGGCAACTGGGGTCGCGGGTTCGATTCCCGCACAGAACAACACTTTGTGTGACCCACAAATTGTTGTTTCGGGTCTGGGTGTGTTGTGTATGTGAATTTGTCTGTTTGTAAACGCACCCACGACACAGGAGAAAATCCTAATGTGGGGCAACGTTTTTTAAAAGAGAAGAGAAAAAAAGTCTCAATAAGTACTTTAAAGAAATATTGAGCTATTTGAATTAAATTAAATCATAAAATTGAAATAAAAATGTGTCAACAATTATAACAATAAACAAACATTACAGAAGTCTTCGTAAACCAATAAAGTCAAATAAAATCACAATATAAACAAAGATGGCACATAATGCAGAGCACCTTTCGAATCGTACTCAAGCGACCTGCAACAGAAAATAGACAAAAACTCTAGGCTATTGGGACAACACATTGCAAGTGGAACACTGTGACATAACACCACTCAATGCTATGAGCTAAGAGCCAGTGACCGCCACACTCACAATCATATTTGTTTTATTCTCATTCATTATAATGTAATTACGAGTAGGTATATGTATGAAGATCGAAAATGCATCTTAGTTACATGCTCTTGTGACCTACTTTTGTGTCAATGTTTTTATTTCCTTATCATCTTCTGTTGTTTTTGATGCTGCAATTCTCATATTCTTTTACGTTTACTAAATGTCTGAAATTCTTTTCGCTGTTATAAAGATAGGTTATGGAAAATGAACGTCGATCTACGGCATCTTGAAATTATTATCATTTCGGAATGAAATAATTAACATAAGCAACCTCATTGATTTAACAATCTAATCACCTATTTAGATATTGAACTGATGAAGGCTCTCTATACAAAAGTTCTTTTTCTAATATTCTTAACGTCTGAGCTAAGCAAATGATATAGACAACATAAACAGTTCTAGCTGAGCTTATGAAATTTAAGATTCTTTTTTTTCGTCGTCGTGTGCGATGCCGTGAAATGTATGTCAGTTGTGTCTTGCACTACAACACTAGTTACCGGTACGCGTGCAGACGACATTGGGCGGCGCAGGCGCATTGACTGCACGCGATCGGATATGCGTTTAATCGTCTATACCGATTCGAAACGATTATCTAACTTCCTGCCTAGTTTACTTGACAGTTCAACAAATTGTTCCATATATCGCATGAATAGTGTAGTCACGATTTTTCCCTTCGATATAAATGGTTATACCTCGGAATCACTGATACAATATGCAGATCATGTGTTGCAGTTTCATCGTACAGGATGTTGTTACAAAGCAGAGATTTTATGAATTGAACATTCAGAAGATTATATATACAAAACCAGTTTTAATTATGGGTCGTCTTTCATCGTGAACCGTAAGTTTATTTGTTATATTTCAGGTTTTGTGAACGATAATGATGACTTACAGCAACTGTCCGTCGTATCATAAAGCCTAATGACCCAAAAACACATTTAACCGGAGTGCATACATTACTTCCTTCATTAAGCACTAGATTAATCTAAAAATGTTTTTTGATAATCGTAATTGTTTAGCTCATCGTGGATGTTGTTTTTTTTATAAAAACAGTTTAATAATTTGTATGTCAAGTAATAGCCTTTGTACGTTTTTATGTCTGAAAATTTTTAATAAAGCCGAATTCAACGAGGTGCATAAGATGACATGATGTATACAAATAAGTGGAATTGTATCTCCATATATCATTAAAATCTAGGGCTTCGTTTACAATAATGTCGCCAGCAAACATTACACAAACGAGCCAGTAATTTTGAATTAGATCACATAATACACAGCCTAGAACCTAACAATGCTAGAATAATAACTATTGTATATCTCAAAACGAGGTTACGATCACTGAAGCCTGGACAAACACAACTTCATTGCGAAAACCAATTCGTACGACGCTTCATTGAAGATCTGCAGCAAATTGAGATTGGTTTGCAAACAACTTAGTAGCTAGGTCTTGTGACGAAAACTGTACTTAGACGAGCGGTTTACTGACCCGTATCGAGAAAATTTTAATAGACAATGTCTGCAAGAATGGGAACGAAGTGATAACCTAAGTGGTAGGTACCACTTGGCTGACATTGAGAAATATGGACGTCTTTTGTTTATCCGCTAATTAGGCTGTGTGCTGAGTGTGATCTCTTTTTTTTAGTTTTGCCTACTTTTGGAACAAAAATCTATGGATTACAGAAATAAAATTTCATAACAGCTGATTGCCAAGCATGTAGTCATCATTTCAATCAGTTACCGGATAGTCAAACGTACCTATAACAATTTACTTGATAAACAAGTAAACTGGATAGATAAAGAGTTAAGGAAGACCATATACTATGGGAAATGATAAATATTCCGTATTCTAGCTACATTATGGAGGAATTTTATTTTTTTACTTGTCGTCGTCAAGGCTGTTGTTTTAAGGAAATGCTTTGGTTGCAAGCTCCTCAACATTGTGTTAGTTCCTTTTTCATTAACCGAAGTTATTGTGGTTTTACAAAGACTACACCACATTATGACAATACGATAAAGTTCTTCGGTATCTCAGTTACAAGTTTTTATTAATCATGTAGGTATTAAATTCTTAACTTTATTTTAAAATAGACGAAATGGAAATACCCGAGCGTTGATTAATTATACATGTAATTTTATCTCTCCGGAGAATCCGAGTGCAAAGTCCAGTTCTAACCAACATAATTATTTAATTCTAAACTCAATAAAACCCATAACAAAACAAAAAGCTTACTTAATTATATGTATACCTATTGGTGAATCCCAAACATACGTAGATTAGAAAAATCATTCACTTTAAACGAATTCTAAAAATACTTAATTGTCTTCATTTAAAGAATAAAAACAAACATCCAGTAAGTTAAGCAAAGGTGAACATTGGCTTTATTTAAATACAATGTATTTTTTCGGCTTTTTTGCTTAAATTATGAGTCAGTTAGACTTTTCTTTGCAGCGACGTCTTAGGGTAAGAAGTCATGGTTTACGAATGGTTCTAGGTATCAAGGGTGAACTTGGAGCTATATTCTGGAAACGATTGCAAACTAAGAACTAAACCCAGAAACCACTATCATTGATCTAAGGCAGTATTTAGAGACCAACTCTCCTCTATCTTTCACCGAAGGTCTGAGCCAGAGATTTAACAATTTCCTCCCTTTGAACAAAAAAGCTGGACCTGTGTAATATTCCATCTGTTAAATTAATTAGTCTTAAGTTGAGAAACTAGTACATTGGTCGCGTCGTTTCAGTTTTGCAACATTCGTCAAAGCAATTCTATTTTGATCAGTAATCATTTTGCAATGTCAGTTTCACTGTTTTCAAGTCAACTGACACTTATTGCCTGTTTAGTGTTTACTCTAGTGGAAATTAATGTTTCTGTAACGATTTTATTGAGTACTTCCCAAGGTCAATGCACATCTTAATTGGAGTTATTGTGTGATGCCGTAACCTTAGCCAATGCTCACTAGGACCGAGTTTGTCCTTGGAATATGTAAGGAGTTTTTTGAAGGTCTTTGCTTATCAAGTAATCCTTTATCTCTATCAAGTAATCCTCTATCTCAATCAGTAATATTCTAATATATCTGCAGTACGACGGAGTGCAGGACTTGTTTGCAGTACATTAATAGTAGGCATTTTGTAGTAACGAACAGTGCCCTCAGTTGTATGGTACACAGGTACGGAAATAAAGATTGATCCACTCATGAATCAGGAATCCTTTTTTATGCTTCATTAAAATCATACAATTTGGTGTAAAAATACCTACTGTCTATGTAGGTACTCTGCTTACCTGAACCCTACAGATACAGTTACTGTTAAGACCAATGATATTATAAGTAAAAAGGTGTAGATAGGTTACAAGCGCTCAGCAAGTGATACATTAAAATGTCGCTAACTAGCCACACTTTTTTATATTTGTCTCTTTTTCACTCGCTCACTTTAACGTGTATCATACGATTTATTCATGTGTGCATAAGTGTGCCGTTTTTGAAAATCGAATGTTGTTTATGTAACCTATCTATATCATTTTACTTATAATATCATTGATTAACAACCGATTTCCGAAAGGCCGATCAATGTTAAAATAAATTTAATCTCTTGTCAAGTCATCTGATTGGTTGACTGAATTATCAACAACCAATCAGATGACTTGACAAGAGATTTAACAGGAGATTAGTTAATTTTAGCGTTGACAAGCCTTTCAGAAACCGGGTGTAAGACTATATAATACACGCATGTTTAATCTACCTTTTTGTATTTTCCTAAATTGGAACAACATGACATGATACACTCACTATTACGTAAAGCTGATAAATTTCATATTTTGCATAGATAGGGTTTGTAACATTCGTTAACGTTGGTGCAGGTGACAAAATAACAGGGTAGTTAACAACTATGTAGATAAGATTGTAGGTTTTTAGGTCGTGCATTGTTACTCTTTACTAAGGCTACATTAATTACATTAGGTACTAAATGGATTGTGGACGGTAGACGGGTGGTATACAGTAGCCGCAGCCGCAGTAAATTCTATTAATTTTCAGCGATATCTGGAAATGACCAAAATTTTTCTTTCTAAGTTCTCCAGGGCTTTTTTATTATTAGTTCGATATATACTGTCTTTTTACCAGTTGTTTTATGAACCTTGGTTGGGATCAAGGTAAACCTATGTAATAAGGAGATAGAAAAAAATAACAACTAAAAGAATAATCATATTTTTTTAATGACCGTCTTTTAGATGAATTTGAAATGATAGATGGGTTTTTTTCTGATTAAATATACATACATATGTCTTTGTACATCACCGACAATCCATACAATTTCTTAATCTTCTCAAAATGACGAACTAAATGGATTCTGAATATCTATCTACCTATTAAAATATCAATGATCGTTAGTGAGTACGTAAAAGATTTAAGAATTATTTTTGTGAACGAATAAGAATGGTTGATAGTCACGCACGGCCCACGGCGCATACGCATTGTTTATGTTACGTGCGCTATCACAATGAGTGATGTCTTTTTATTGTTTCGGCTATTACTACCGATCCCGTACTATTGAGAGACACGCTCACTCTTTCCGACTTATGTCATTGTGAAGTAATATTGTTGATATTACCCGTGTGCTCTATTAGCTCATGTTATTATGTAAATATTCGTTTCTGACAGCTTCGCTCGCATGACTAGGTTTAAAAGTAGCCTTTGTGTTCCAGACTATAGTCTATTGCGGTGCCAAATTTTGTCATTCCGTTCCGTAGTTTTTGCATTCAAGAGTAACATACATCCATTCATAATTTTCATAATATTATTGGAGTTGTACATCTCACCGTCTACATATGATGATTAAATGAAAACACGTCATATTGATGATCTTTTTAATAATTAAATTCCTTCTTTATTGTTGTAGAGTCTATGACATATTTTTCTTCGAATTAAATAATTAATTACTGCACGGACTGCACGGTTGGTGCGGTGGCTGGGCAACTGGCTGCCATGCCGTGCAACGTGTCGCGGGTTCGATTCCCGCACGGAACAACACTGTGTGTGATCCACAAATTGTTGTTCCGGGTGTGGGTGTCATGTGTATCTGAAATTGTATGTTTGTAACGGCACCCACGACACAGGAGAAAATCCTAACGTTAAAGAAAGAAATTTGTAAACTAAAATTCATTTTTAATTGATGATCATGGATATAATTATTCATTTATTTCACTATAATAATATACTCAATCATAAGGTAGGTGGGACCCATAATACACAAACAAACTAGTACAAAGTGAATGTTGCATTGGAGTGTATACTGTATACATACGTTCATCTTTTCTTATCCATATACTTCTGTAGGGATAAATGCACGACGCCATATTTAATCATTATCACATCTAAAACTATAAAATATGAACATAATTCGTTTAATTGTTATGAGTGTTAAAGTATTAAAAAAAAATACAACGATCATCAACTTAATTAGCAGCTAACTACTTCAGTTACTCATTAAAAGTTATTTAATTTACGACTCTTTTTTTTTATTAAGCACGAAGTGAATCCTTACATGAAATAGATAATAAACAATTATGAACCTTTATTATCTTTTTTAACTATAATGAATATGATGTAACCCTATGTATATCTATCTTCACTTTTTGTGAAAATCTTACCTATTTTTACAGGGATCTCCAATTATTTATTTATACTAAACCTACTTTCAAAATTGAAACAAAAACAAAAACTTCTATATTGTTTAAAGATGACACCGTTTTTTGCTGTTATGTAGATTCCATAATAGCTAATAACTGTTTAAATACTAAAACTCCATAGCCAAGCAATTATTATCTTGGCGTGAAGCGAAGATTGGCATTTTAAGTTCATTTTCCTTTTTCCAGGTCAAGGATATTGACGCGGAGAGTAATCACTCCGGGAGAGTTACAACGAGCTCCATGGAAGAAAAATTGTGAGTACATTTTTACTATGGGATAATGCGTGAAATGAGCTAGCCTATTAAATGCTGGCCGATTTATATTCTTCTTTCATTAATTACATTAAAAATCTGATGATTGTGATCGATATTTAATAGTTGTTGTATCTAGGGGCACGGCAGTGCCCCCACCAAGTCGAGCAAAAAAGCGGCACGGTCGTACCATCCTTTTCTCGAAGCAATTCAGGCCATTTTCGACCCCCTGTAACATCGTTGTGGATAAAACTAGAAGACTGAATTTTCAGTAACCATGTCAATCTTAAAAATCTTTAATGTTTTATATAAAAATATTGACTTGGTCATCGCACTAAATAATTTAATTAACACGTGTTTTCATGCGATTGCTGAGTCAATATATTTTTTATATAAAACATTAAAGATTTTTAAGATTGAGATGCGTCACTATAAATATGCTGTCAATTATTACGTAACAACTTAACGCTTCGATTCCAGACACAATTGATTTTCAATTGTTATGGACCACGATCGTGGTCTTAGGGAGTGGACATATTAAGACAGGAAGTCGCTTAAGTATTACATTGATAAGACTTGGTAATACATGGATCCATAGATATAAGAAAAGAGGAGATGTGTTAAGTAGTGAAAAATGTACGGGGACCCGATGTCTGCAGTTATCCCTACCAACACCGACACCACTACACATACTGCAATAGTTACACACCCGCAAAACATAAATCAGACTATACTGCACAGTCAATTATAAACCTTATTTTCTCTGAACACAGCGTGTATTTTCCATGCAGTATAACTTACGCACACATAAAAACATTGATGTGCTGTGCAAAAGCAATTTATTTTACATTTACGCTAGTGATTGACTAAATGGAAAAGTTATCGATTTTTCCATTTTTTATTGTATTATTTTTTTGGATTTCAAAAACACATTAAATAAAAATCAAAGTGTCCAGAAAATTATATATTAATATAAAAACCATAAAAATTGTATTCATAATATTCAGAAATTACAAATTTTTGATCAATCAATGTACTACTGTTGATTGCCTGTTATTGTATTTACTCACAGACCTGTGAAAAGAAGATTTTTAGAGGCTGAAACATTTCTGGTTCAAAGTGACTTGAGCATACGGTACTATTTTTTGTAGGGAACCAATTAGGTGGCCTTCGAGTGGCATCTTTCGGGAAACTGAAAGCATAAAATAACACTTTAGTTATCAGTTTTACTTAAGCTACTGCTAAAGTTTACCATGTAAAAAAAATTAGAAAAAAAAACCTAGTACAAAGCTTGTTTCAAGACTTAAGATATTATACTTTTTGCAATCTACCTTTTTATAACAAATAAACATTTTATTTATTATTATTATTTATTGTCAAATACCTATATGAAATACAACACACACCCATGCATAAGAAATAAAGAGCTAGAAAATGTTATGAACCTTATTTTAAGCATAAGTTGTTAATATATTCTGTATCATGCGTATTATTATAGCGCATTCGAAGCTTTAGAAGACTTAAAGAACGCAGATAAAATGTCAAAATCAGAAAAAGTCAGGAAATAACACCAAGATAACGCATAACATAATGAGACATCCGAAACCTAAAAATAGTTCACCAACTATTAACTTACAATTTAACCAACTTACTTTACGACAGTTGCTAACGTATTTTTCTACTACTCTGTAAAATAAAAAAAAAAAATATATTATTTCACTTCGGATATCCAAACAATCGATATTGTGATCGATACATTAGTAGATCTATACCTACACGCTACATCACTATCTCGTCGCATCTAACAGCGGCCGCATTATAAAACATATCGCACTAATAAAGTATCGTTATGTTATATTTACATTGCTTGTCCATTTTCTGAGCATCAACATTAGGTTGTGCTTAAACAGCAATGTATTTAGTGTAAGAGTAATAAAGTTGTTTCGGTATTTGAAAACAAAAATAACGTAGTAACAGCAACGGATTTTATAAGATTTGTTGTTTTTCCTGATTTTAAAGATAAATATAGTATTAAACTTGTACTTACATATGGTAAGAGATACCGTGATGACCCAGGCTTTTTTTTTTGCTTCGGTTCTTGCACGAAACCACTGCACAACACGACATTTTAAATTTATTTACGAGCACGTTCGCGATCTTGCGAGTTTGCTAAATGATCGGCCATTTGACGGTACAAGAGCATTTCGCGCAAGTGCCGCGGACACGGACACGCCCCCTTGCCACTTCTCCTGTTTTTTATATTTCTGTGCATGGATCTCACAACTTTTTACCGTAGAACAACTGAGTTGCGAGACTTGGTTTTTTTGACAAGTATTGTTATTGATGGGAAATAATATCTGTCAGAAACGTCGATTTAAAATTTTTAAAATAAGTTAGTTATTCGTTTCGATAGAGGACTACGCAGACGTACTTACAATTTGGACGCCGTACGTTTACAGGAACTAAATCTTTCCAGTCATAATAATTTAAAATTCAAATAAAAATTCTTTATTAGCATTCCATGTGTTAAATGACAGGTGATTCATTTTAGGGATTAACACTCGTTGAAAACCATTTAACTTACCGTTTTGTAAGTTAATGTTAACAGAAACATCGGCTATTAATCTCAACAGACGTAGGTACACACTTTTGTTTGCCATTGCATTCTATATTTGAAGCAAGCGTAAGGTTTTTAGTGTTACCCAAATGAAAATGAAAATTAGCCTAGGAATAATATTTAATAATCTCTATTTAATAATAATCTCTATCTGTGCAATTTTCATCAGTATCCATTCAGTAGTTTTCACGTGAAAAAGTAACAAACATTCATCCATACTAACAAAGTTTCTCGCCTACAATACAAACATAGTGCACTTTTCTTACACAGTTGTCACTATAACTACTAAATAAAAGGTTACAAAACTGAATGCAGAGCTCTCTTGCAATATCTGATTAAACCTGCAACAGTAACCGTTGCGCAAACAGTTATGTTAACATACCAACATATAACATGGATTGTCGAAATAATCGACTCGAACACTTAATGAGAAAAAGTTCGGGAATGTCTGTCGTGACTTTATCGTGGCGGTATTTGCAGTGTAATTGAGGTTCCGTATAGAAAATACTAAGTGCTGAAAGAAAGAAAATCGTTTATTTATCACCTTGATATAAAAACACGAAAACAACATTCAGAGTGAACTTAAAGAGAAATACCAGGTGGCCCAATGCCAAATGCCCCTTTCTTAAATCCCTCCTCATCCCAAAATCTCCAAATACCTAATCCGCAAAAGGTCGGCAACCCACCCGTAACTCCTCTGTTGATGCGGGTGTCCATGAGCGGCGTTGATTGGATACCAAAATACTACCCAAACTATATAACTTTACCTAAGTCAATAGTATCCGAACATGCCCATACCATCTCAGTAGTAGGTTGAGCGTGATAACACTCGACGCTGATTGGTTGGGATTGGGAACCTGCAGAAACTTACTGACATTCGATTTATGTTTTTGGGTAATATTCAGAACTACTGTTATTAAGAATGTATGTATAAGTTCAGTTTAAATTTCTGTTTTAATGTAGGTATGCCAATCTCATTTTATTACGCGGCTAACAGAAAAAACGTATTTATCTGAACCGGAACAAAACACAAAAGCAAGTCTTTTATAATACTTACAGCACTATAACTAGATATATTAGGAACTAAGACCCTCTATGAAGGTTCAGTATTGTCTACGACACCACTGGTGACACTGACAAGCCAAGGTGATAATTTTTGACTTATCTTGATAAAGCAACAACCGTACGTCCGGTTTTTATATTGAAGTATGAGGAACCCTGAAAACTGTTATTTTATGGTTTAGCCTTCGATATGCTGAATGAGTCCCGATTTCTTGTTACTCTTATACTCGTAAGTGTATATTGCAATGCAGAAAAAGGATAAAATCTAACTGTACTTTTTTATTGGGTTCTTTTTTAAGAATAATGTTCCATTGTGACTGTGTTTTTTTGATATTTATTTTCCAGATTTTATAAGTCCCAAGGCTTAGACTGTGCTATCATACGTTTATCTCAGTACCTAAGCTATATAAAATGAGCTCAATTACAAATATATGTGTTGTTGTTTAATTCTTTAGGTCTTTGAACATGTAATCATTTTTAAATAATACTAAATCATCTAGATCGTTTTTGATATTGATAAATTGTATAAATCTGTCTGGAAGACGAAGGTTGGGCAGGCCCCCGTTAGGTGGACCGACAACATCATCAGTTGCGGGGAGTCAAGGATCCAAGTAAAGATTTGTCTTTCTTTCAACGTGGATAACTCTTAGTCTTTCTGGCCTGGGAGTTGACGTCTTTCGGCTAATGATGATGACGATGATAAATTGTAACCATTACCTTAAACAAAGTATTTCTTTGTATTATTATACCGAATATTTACAATTAGACAAAGCTAACTGTCCTTTGTGTAATAATTAGTATGAGTCAGTATTTGTCACATAATGTGATACTTCATGCAAATCTCTATTGTTAGGAATATTGCATTATCTGACAACTGACAGCTCATGTAAGCGATACCTTCATGATTTCTACGGTAAATAGAATCTATGAATAAATACAGGATGACATAAGCCTAGCTTTATTCTAAGTAATAAACCAAATGTGAATTAACTAAAAATCGCGGGTTACTCACGTGTATAGGCCGCGTCCGCGCACGCGGCTCATGAGGAAGAACCCCTCTGTGGTTCGAAACTAGTAGAGCTTTTCTGTATGCACGTGAGTAACCCGCGATTTTTAGTTAATTTAGTATGTCTTACGATAGTTATTATAAAAACAAACCAAATGTGGTAACGGACGTTGTCGCAGTTTAGATTAAATTTACTTCTAAAAGTTCTTAATCAAAATTTACACTATATAAGGGACACCCTTATAGTGTAAATTAATATTAGGTATTACATGTTTCAAAAAAGATACAATATTATCAGTTTATTTTCTAGAGAAAAGT